GGACCCGCTGACTTGAACGCGTCCAGCCCCTCCAGAAGCTCTCTAACCCGGTCCTCCCCAACCTGAGGTCTGAAGGCGATCCCCTCGAGTCCGGCTTCTATCACAGCAGGGAAGTCCCGGTCCCTGCACAAGAAAACGGAGGTGAAGAATTGGTTAAAGAGGTCCGCTTTCTCCTCTGACGCAACCACCAGATTGCCCATCTGTTAAATTGGACAGAATGTAAGAAGTGTACCATTAATGTAATGATCACTTCAGAAAAATAATAGTTATTCTTGAGAATCCATCCTAAAGGCTCTTTTTGGAACCAGAGTAAAAATGCGCTACTTCCGTAAAGATTAATGGATGGTCTATTGGTAGCATTTGCTTAATAACTAGCTTTGTCCAATGGTGTGTACAGTACATGCAAAAAAAATACTAGTAGTGGTAATGTGTTTCTTTGGTGTTTGTGTGGTCAGTGAGGGTGGGGGTCAGGGAGGAAGCTTATTAAATATTTACACATTTTTTATTACTATGAATACACTTTCAGTGGAGTGACACTGAAAGCAGGGCTGTAACAAGTTGAAATAAAGTTGTCTGACTTACAAAAATTGTTAATGATATTTTGCCTCTAAAATGATTTTCTGGAAGTTGACCAAAAAACCCCAACAAAAGCATGCATATAGGGAAGTAGTTTAATTGGCTATACTCTGATCTTTTTTGGGGGTGTAACTACAATTCAGAACTGACTCATTATTGTGTATAACTTCCATTAGCATTAATAAGCAGATGATGACTTTAGTCTTTGGACATCAATGTTGATTGATCAAAATGAAAATAATATCAATTACCTCAACTAGCAGCAAATCGTGATCTTAACAAAATATGAGATTGATTTTTGCATTGTTCTGCCCATTCTACATATGTTAAACATGAGGTATCAGAACCAGAAATGTAGGGCTAGAGAGGACCGCAAAAGGTCATTTAGTATCTTGTCCTACTTCGAGACCAGGATTAAGTCTACCTAGACTATCCTGAAAGATGTTCATCTAAACTATTCTTAAAAACCTACAAGGCAGGAAATATCATAACCTCTTTAAGTCACCTGGGCCACTAGCTAACTATCCTTATAATTAGGAAGATCTTTTTTTAGCGTAGGATGTAATCAAAATCTTTGCTGCAAGCAAAGCCAGTTTCTTCTTGTCCCGATCTCCCTTTTCTCCCCCATTGTTAAGGAGAACAATCGATCACTATCTTTTTTTATAACAACCTTTCCCACATAGGAAAACTGTTGTGTCCCCTCTGTTTACTCTTTCCTAGACTAAACAAACTTAATTCCTTCCAACTTTCCTTCTAAGTCATATAAACTAAACCTTCTTTACTTGTTGTTCTGTGCTGGGTTCTCTCTAATTTCTTTACATCTTTCTTACAGTCTGGGACCCAAAACAAAATGCTGTACTTTACCTGACACCTCCCCATTGCCAAGTATAATGGAATAATTATTTCCTGGGTTTTACACAATGCTCCTGTCGGTGCTTCCTAGAATGAGATTTGACTCTTTTGCAGCAACATCATACTGTTGATTTGTATTCAGTTAGTGGTGCACTACAACCCCAAGCTCTTTTCCCGCAGTACTGTTACCTATTTTGTATTTGTGTATTTGGTTTCTCTTTCCTAAGTGGAGCACTTTACATGTGGGTTAACCTTATTCCGTTGATTTTTGAACTATATCTCCAATTCCCCACAACTCATTTTGAATCTCATTCCTGTTCTCCAACAAGCCTGTAACCTGAGTCAGCTTGCTGTCATTCACGGTGTCTATAAATATGTCCTCCATTCTGTCATACAAGTCCTTAATGAACAGCTGTGAAGTTGCCCATAAGGTGGGTGTATCTCAACATTATTTCTCTAATTTTGCATATGAAAACACATGTTTTCTGCTATTGAATATTTTGCTGCTGGAAAGATTAAGTTTTTATGGGAGCTGGGCATGTATCACCCTTGCCTTGGCAGGTAACAAGATTTCCATACTGCTTAAAAACATCTAATCAATACCATCTTGTGGGGGTTTTTACTCAGTTTAGTTCTGACATAATATTAGTTTCCACTACTTAGGACACATTACAACCAGAAGTTATTTTTTTAAGGTTCCTGACAAGTAAGAATTCCAGCTTTGAAGTGCTATGCAGATGCGGGTCAGAATTTTCAATCAGAGGTGTCTACAGCATTTTGGCTTTTATCTTTTTTTTTCTATCTTGCTTTTTCCCTTAGTGTCCATCAGCGTAGTGTTTACATGCTATCTTTTATGCGGCGACAAATGTAATCACGGCCCAAAACAGTGAGTAATACATGTTGGAATTAAAGTGAAAGGAAACCACGATGCCAGTCGGAGAAACTTGATTTGAGAAAATCCCCCTTTTTTTTTTTTTTTCCTGACCTGTGAAAGTCGGTTACACTCTGGTTCAATACAAATGCTTTTATGGTCAGCAAATTTACAAATCTGATTCAGGGGACGCTTCCTAACTTTTAAAATCTTGTGCGAAGTTCTGAACTCTCACTGTGATAGTTTGTGGACTTTGAGATGGGCAGGTAGTACATAAAACTCTTTCCTTTCAGAGGTGAATCTGGTCAAATAAAACTCAATTATATCATCAGTGTTTTAAAGGCGAGCCATCTGCAGAGCAGACTTCTTGGTGTAACAACTCTGTCATCTCAGTTGTGGTATGTTTCAGTAGAGCTTCTTTGCTTTTATACATTCATTTCTGTGTGTTAGACCACAATCATGAATCAGAAGACAACTTTTCTTCAGTACCAGTTATCACTTGTACATCTGTTTTTGGTCAAGATGATCAGTATCTTATGACTGGTATAGGCAGAAGTTCTGTTTTTCCTTTTCCTTACCTTGCTAACAAAATAATTTATCTTATAGGTTGTTGTGGCCAGTACAATAATCATCCAGAATATTGGAGGTAAGAAACTTCACGTTCAGATTGCAGTGTTGTGTGTGTGAGTGTTTTGGGGCTGTGTATACACAGAGGGCAAATTGTAAGTGAAAAAATACATGAAAGGGGCTGACAGAGGAAATTTAAGGTTACAGTTTATCCGATCATGCTAGCTCAAGGACTGTAGTAGGTGTGCTTTTTCACATCATGTGGTCTTTATTTGTTAGGCATGTGATGCATATCACCATTGAGGTGTAGCCTTTGCCTTTCATTGCTACGTTTATTTCATTACTATGAGACGGTAGAATTTTGTGTGTACTAAATTCATGATAGTTTCCTTTGTTCAACGTTTTGTCTTTAGTGTGTGTGTGTATACAAATGTGTGTTATCCTTCATAAAATAACTTTTTTCACTGTAATTTCTTTTATCATCAGCCAGCCTAGCTCTGTTGCTCTTTTAACCATGCTCCATAGTACAGTCCTTAATAATAATGCAATCCCTCTTGATAAGAAGCCACCAGCAACATAAGTTTAAGCATCTAAAACGCTGTTAATGTCTAGCCTATAAGAAAAGTAGTTGTGTCCACCACAGTATTAGGAGAAGAATTAAAAACCCGAGTATTAAAAACTAAATAAATAAAAACAGATTGCTTTACAAGAAAGAGGTAGAGGAGATTGACTAGACTTCTGTTTTAATGCTAACATTTAAACTTGGCAGTATCCTGGATTTTTTTTCCTCCTGGATGAAAACAGGAAATGAGTTGAAAGCAAACCAGAGAGAGTAGGAGAAAGGGTGTGGATAGTCATTTAATAGTGACTGGGAGAAACAATGTTCCAGTGCCTGTCAATAAGCCAGGCACTTTTCTAATCACTGCAAAATAGACCTGGGACTAGACCAAGTAAGTGTTTTTACAATTAAATTAGTAGCTTTCCTTGTACAAAAATGTCAAATAGTGGAAACGTATTAATTTAAATGGCTGTAAAAATGATGCTGTTCATTTCAGACGGGAATGAACGCATTAATTCCAAAGTCTAAAGATTATTTATCCATCCAGGTTTTGGAGGACTTTATGTAGCAATGAACACATTTTTTAATTTCCTTCCACATTCAAGTGGACCTCTAAATAAACATTGTTAGACAAGGAGGGAATACAAAGGGAAGGTTCATGCAACACTGGGATCCAGTACAAGACTATGTGGTCAAAGGAAATTTGAATCTTATTTCTTCCTCATAACAGTTCATAACCTTCTCTGTGTGTCAGTTTTAATAGAACTCAGTTTTGTAACCCTAGAGGCCCATGCTGTTGCATGTTGGATATTATCAAACGACTTATTCCATCTTTTGTTGTGGACTTACTTCTCTGCCAGGAACCTGACCCTGGTTTGCCAAGAATTTCATTTCTGTTTAACTTAGTTAATTCAAGAAGCAGCTTTCACAATTGGAAAATATTCTTTCAAGTGTTTAAAATGCCCATCACTCTGATGGAAACTTCCAAATCCTCTGTGTTTTGGCTCTTTGGATTTCAGTGGGAAGATCCTTTGGGTAGGAGTAATGCAGGTATTTTGCTCATTTCAGACATTGGCTTCCTTGCAAAGATTAACCCATTTCAAACACCTGTGGGGAAAATTACCAAACTGAACGCGCACACAGCATTGTTAATCAAAGCCTCCGCCTCCACGCAGAGATATTCTGCCTTGTCCCTGAGTGGGGTGGAAAGTGTGGCCTTCATAGCACCTTGCACCATTCTGGGCACCCTGTGGATGCTTCATGCAGAATGGGGTAAATCGAGGGGAGTAATGATTTGTCTATCCAGGACAGAAGATGCAGACCATCTGGGTTTCATGTGGAAACACTGCTCCCAGCTGTGTTAACTCTCCCTAGATCCTGTTTCTTCTACAGTTCAGCCTCCAGGGGCCTGGCCAGTAGCAGCATGGTTCTTGGAAAGCATGTTGTTAAGGGAAAGCTGGGACCTGGAGCAGCAGTGTGGTATCAGGAGCCCCTAGTGCAGACAGCTCTCCTGTGACCCAAGAAATCCCCAGGATGTGGGGTATTAGGAGGCCCTTCCCCGTCAGAGCTGTATCTGCCATCAAGCCCTTGACCCTTGAGGAAGCAATCAAGATGCGAGAAGTTTTCTATCCTCTTTCCTCCCCTTCCATGAGTTTTGTGATGGGAGAGGTCAAGTCTTCGTTTAGTTTGCCCTGGAATGGGTACCACTGGATTTAGCAATGCAGCATTTGCATTGAGCCTTGCCTTGCCTCGCCTCGCCAGTGCAATTAAGTATTCCTTTCCTTTTGTTCCTTTGCATCCATCTGGAGGAACCGGCCAGGCCATGCCCCTTCGGCAGTCTTCCAAGCTCTGTCAACATCTTTAATTTCAGAGCAAGGCTAAAAATAAAATCGTTTTCTCTGATTACCTCCTCCATCATCAGAGCTGGATACATTGCATCATACGGTATCTCATTACAAAAAAGATGGGAGGGCAGCAGATAATGAATGATGGTTTGAGATAAAATAAGCCACTTTACTGGGGTTATTCTCACAGTCATAATGCATTCTAGGCATTTCATTGTCTCTAAGAATAACTATAATGTATAAATATGATTTACATTTGGCTTTTTTGGGATATTTTAAATAAACTTGTTTAAAAGGATGTCTTGAATGTTTTGGGGTTTTTTTCATAATTTTTTTTTCTCGTGGTTTTATTAAAAAAGGTGAAAGTGAATCTATTTTTAGTATCTTAACTTCACGCATTCAATGACTCTTCAATGCAGGGGTGCTAATTTTCCTAATATGAAGATGCATTTAAACAGTGTCACACAATTTTAAGGACAGCCGTAAGAAAAATAAATAGTGTCGAATTTGGGGTCTGCTTTGGAAAGCGTCCTTCTTTTTTATCATCTTTTAGACAAATTATCTGACTCCTGGGGATTCAAAGTTGACTTTTAGGATTTATAACCTTGTTTAATATTTTTAAATACAATGGTTTCATCTGTTGTTGCACAGAGGCAAAAAAATCAACATTTAAAGGGGGGGGCTGCTTTTATTTGAAATGCTGTAGAGTGTGTGCCACATACTCAAGCAGTGCTGATTGAATAGTCCATCAAAGTATCCAAAGATAGGTCTGGATCTATGAAAAATTGGCAGTAACATTATTATGTCCTAGTTATTTTTAAGAATACAAGATTTAAAAAGTGAAACCAGTCAACATTATTTGTGTATTCTGGTCATTTTGGAACAGGCATATTTAAATGTTCTTTAAAATAAAATTAAAAAAATCCCTACAGCCTAATAGTTTGTAGCATATTTTTACTTTATAAAGTGATATAAGCATCCCAAATATAGAATATCGAAAACAACGGCAAAATTAACCTAGCCTTCCCTACAGCAAAATTCATGTATTACCATAAATGAGATCAACAGTTAGCAATCTTTTAAGGCTGCAGGCTAGATTGACTTAATTTGTGTCCGAGATAGCCAGGGGGTACTCTAGGACCTAGTCACCACCACTGCTTGTCCTCGCAATGGTGCAGGGAAGTGACAAAGGCCCCCACCTCTGAATGCTGCCGAAGCGATGTGTCCATGGGCGAGATCAAATGGCTTTGGGGGCTGCATCCAGTCCACGGGCTGTAGGTTGCCAGCCACTAATATAGATGATCTGCTTTAGTAACTTTAGTGCAACGTGTTCGTATGAATCTGATACCTTTTGTTAATTCTACTTGTCAGTCTTTTATGACTTAAAGACTTCTCTACACCTCTGTGCCTATGCTAAAGAGCTGTTACTCACATAAATGCTACATTGCATAAGTTTGCAAAATGAACCCCTAGCAATGAAGTTGCCAGTTTACTTCTTTCCAGATCATCATTTTGCTGCATTCATCCAGGTCCCTTCTCCTCTTCCGCCTGTGCATGGAGTGCTCTCCAGGTATGCAGCTTGGGTTTGTAGTACAGAAGGGAGTCTTGAAAGATCCTTTTATGTCGCTGTTTCTTATTTATGCATCCCAACTCCTGAGAGCCCTGTCCATACAGTTGTAGGCCTGCATAAATGCAGGATTGCTGTGGGGGATGAGAGGTTGGGGAGACAATTGTGGAAGATTCTGAGACTTTTTTAGAGTTCAAGGCTATATTCATTTTCTCACGTAATCCTCTCCAGGAACAGCCAGAGCTGGAGGGCATCCCTCATATTCTTTCTGGATAGCAATGGATGGCTTGTTGTGGGTCAAAGCCATCACTCTACATCCTGTAAATCCCTTAGGTCCTGAAAGATCTGACAGGTTTGTGGGTGATTTCCATAGATATCTGCCATGTGGGATGAGGGAATTCTCCAAGAAAATCTTTAGGGAGATTTCCTAGTAAAATGTCCCTCTTGTTGATTTTGAGAAGAGAGTATCAGTGGGGATATGACAGCATATATAATGATGAAGTTGGAGAAAAATTATTTTAGCAAGACTTGTGGAAAATGGAGATGCATGCAATAAAATATTGCATAAGAGCAGTTCACAGGCTGTTGCCAGCACCAACAAATCTTCAGTATTTGAGGTCTAAAGCAGGAATTATGTGGAAAGAGTTTTATGGTGTATTTCTCCTGGCTATAGACTGGCATTAGATGAAGGTCATTGCTTAGGGAGCTGGAACTGGTCACAGGGCAAGGAAACTTTGAAATAGAGAGACGTAAATCGGAAATATTGGGAGTATGAATGTAAGAATCTAGAATTTATTAGCAGCTGGAATAAAACACAGCAGTAAAGCATTAGTGATCTCTGAAAGGATTTTCTTGCAAGAACAAAAGACCAAGATACTCCAAGGACGACTTGTTAGGTTACTAGAAGTGGTTTATCTGCTTGCTTGTTGAATCTAGATCTCTCCCTTCTCTCCATCTCTCTCCTTCTGCCTACAAATGCGTACATACATACAGAATCTTCATTTTACAAGGATTAGCAAGCTCCATTGCAAAAGCAGCTCAGTTAATTGATCATTTCTCTAATTGGTGCTTCCACAAATTTGTTAAAGGCTTGTCCTGCAGCCAGCTGG